TGGACTCACTGTGTCCTGTCCTAGGTGACCCCAGGCCTGGAGGGACAGGAGGGGGAGCTGCTGGTGAGGGGCCCCTCGGTGTTCCGCGAGTACTGGAACAGACCCAAGGAGACCATGGAGGCCTTCACGCCCGACGGCTGGTTCAGAACAGGTACAGCCACAGCTCCCAGAGGGGACAGGGGCACAGCAGGGTGGAGGGAGGCTGGAATTGGGGCTGGAATTGGGGCTGGAATTTGGGCTGGAATTGGGGCTGAATGTGCCCCCCAAGGCAGCTCAGGATGGAGCTTTGCCTTCGTCACTGAGTAATGGGGGTGTTGGGGCCTTTTGCTCCTGAGTGTGAAATGCCACTGCTTAATGTCTTCCAGGGAATTCAGCTTTGCAAACAGGTGGGATTTGTCTCAATTTACACAGAACCATAACTCCCTGGTGGGAGGGTGCAGCCAGGTCGGGGTTGGGCTCTGTTTCCAGGCTGCCGGTGATTTGAGGGAATGGCCTCAGGCTGTGCCAGGGCAGGGTCAGCTTGGGCATCAGGGGGAATTTCTTCATTGGAAGGGGCTGCCCAGGCCCAGGTGGAATCYCCATCCCTGGAGGTGTCCAAGGAATGCCTGGATGTGGCACTGAGTGCTCTGGGCTGAGGATTGGGCACAGTTTGGAGGTCTTTCCCACCCTCCGTATTCCTGGGATTCTCTGATTTCCCCACTCCCCTCCTCACTGTGTGCTAGCAGTGCCGTGGTGTCASGAGTCAGGCTGCATTTCTGATGCCTTCTGTGTAACCTGATTTACTGAGGGTTCCTGAAGAAGCTGTGATTTATTCTAATTGTTCTCCTGAAGCAAAGCTCTCTCTGCCAGTCCCCGAGCCAGGCGGGTGCCGCGGGCTGGGACCGGAGCATCACCACCCCTCACGTGGGGTGCGGGGGCAATCAGCTTCAAAAAAATTTTTTTAGTCAACACTCCTGATGAATATTTCAGCTGCAAAGGAATAGCGTGCATTAATTATTGCAAAGAGATGTCTTTAGGAGAAAATGATTTTGAAATTCAGTTTAATTTCATTGTAATGCGCCGCAAACAGGAAGGGAGTATGTGTGTTTAATTGGCTCTCGGGGGTAAGGCCGGGAAGATGGCATGCCTTTGTCACAGGCCATTAGTGATACAGACTGCATAATGAGGGACTACAATCAGCTCACAGCTGCCGGCTCCTACGGGGAGAGAATGATATTAAATAGAAATCAGTATAAATTAAACTTAACCCTTTCGGCAACCGAGCAAAGCTCAGAGCTGGAGACAAGGGAAGGGAGCAGAGACAGGAGTGGGGGGATTAGGGTGGGTCAAGGGGTGCTTGGACAGCCCCTCCAGCAGCCAAGTGACCCCCCTGATGTCCCCCTGCCCTGGGGCAGGAGGTTTGAGCTCCCTTGCCCATCCCTACCCCGTTGTGCCTTCCATACCTTCCTTTCCTCTCCYACCTCCTGCCCCTCTCAGGTCGATGGGGTTGGGTTTTTCCCAAGCCTCATTTATCCCACAGAGCGATCCCATGGCCCCATCCTCACCCTGCCTGCCCCAGCCTCATCAGCAGCYTCCAGAGATCACAAATGTCCTGTGGTACAGTCCTGAGGGAATGGAAGGGGTTGTGTCCATCACAGCWGTTGGGTCTGCAGGGTGAATTAATCCCCATTAAACACAAATTGGTCACTCTGGAGCCAAAACCACCCAGGCAGGATCCAGCAGAGGTGAATCCTGTCGGGCTGTATCTGCCCCTGGTCATTCCAGGTCATCCAGGTGAGGCTGAATTCCAGCACAGTGTGCCCAAAACCCCAGCAGTGGCATTCAGTGCCAGCATTCCGACCTGCTGACCCTTGTGTGTGTCCCCAATAGTGGCATTCAATGCCAGCATTCCGACCTGCTGACCCTTGTGTGTGTCCCCACCAGTGACCTGCAGGCTACAGGTGGTGGCCAAGTCCCTCAGGGCTGGGCTTTCACAGAATTATGGGATGGTTTGGATGGGAAGGGCCCTTAAAGCTCATCCCACCCCACCTACCCATGGCAGGGACACCTTCCACTAGACCCAGTTGCTCCAAGCCCCATCCAAAAGGGGAAAAATCCCAGTGACTTTGATGAATTCCAGATTGTGGCTCCTCTGAGAAGCCTCTGAGCTCCCGGTGTTGCAGAGGGGATGTGCTGTTGCTCTCATCCTCTTTATTCCCTGGGATTTGCGCTGCTGTCTGCCGATCCCTCCATCTCTCATTTCCATCCCAGTGAATTTGATTATTTTTATTGTATTAACGCTGTTGACAGAGCTGCTTAGATCAAAGTCCCCTGCAGCCATTTGCAGCCAGACTGCTGGGTTTCCACCTGCTGTCGTTCATCCAAGTGGCAGCGAGCCCTGGGCTGAGCCGAGCCTAAAGGAGCAGGGTCTGTGCCCAAAGGAGCAGTGGCTGTGGGTCTGTGCCCACCCTGCCCAGTGGGCATCACTGCCAGGTGAGGCAGCCCCAAACCTGGCTCAGTGCTGCTGAGAGGGGAGGAGAGCAGAAAAGAGGGCAGGATGACATTTTTTWMCCCTGGATCCCTCCAAGTGCCCAAGGCCAGGCTGGACGGGGCTGGAGCAATCTGGGACAGTGAAAAGTGTGCCAGGGRATRGAATGAGATGGGCTTTGAGRTCCCTTCCAACCTAAACCATTGAATGATTCTGTGAGCAAAATCAAACACGGGGAGCTGGAGGAAAGCAGCAGAGAGGCAGCAGCTGCCCTGGACATGCTTTGGTGTTTGTCCATCCTGCAGGCTCGGGCTCTGCWGGGTTGTGCTGTCCCTGCCCAGGAGGCACCCAGAGGTTTTGGGATTGTGGTGGGTGCTCACACCCCGAGGTGCCCAAGCTCTCCCCAGACATTCCCCTGCCTGCACAGAGCTTTCTGCAGAGTGCCCTGCCCACCCAGCCGTGCTCACCGGGCAGTGACACCATCCCTGCTCCCCCAGGGAAGSCCAGCTTCCATTCACATTTGCCCATACATCCAGAAAATTAGAATCTGGTGTATTCAGGGAGATTTATTTTCAATTACAGGTTAAGGCTGAGACATGAAATAGCACCGGGTTTGAAAGTAGTGCATAAATCCTGCAACAAATCCATGTATCTCTGCTCCATATAATAAGATTTTATTGATTGCTATATTGTATCTGTCAGAATAAAACTCCCTTAATGCATGCATCAGGATGGAGAAGATAGAGAGCTTGTGGGGAGTAGAATCTGATTCAAGAATCAATGCACTTTGATTAATATGTCGTTAAGAAAGTAAGAGTTATTTAACTTGTTTGATGCACATTTTGGAATGATGACTCATATCTTTTACGTTCCTTTCTTTAAGCTGCATTAAAAAAACCCCAATCTTGGAGCTGTTTTTCACATTGTTAAGTCTTGGTTTATCAGGGAATTTTTGCTGGAGGTCACAAACACCCCTGAACCCCATTAATAATAAACACTGTGGCCCAAAACACTTCCCATATCCTGGTGTTAAGGCTTTAGAGGGAGAACAGAGTGGGCCTGGTGTCCCTTTATTCCTTGTGGATGTTCTGCAGGGAAGGAGGAAACTCAAAGGAAAATAGAATTAAAAAAAACAACAACAACAATAACAAAGTTGTTTTCCCACAGTGATTACAAATCCAAGCACCAAGGACAAGCCCTGGCTTAGCTGGGAGCATCCCACTCAGCCCTGAATTCCCAGCTTGCTCCAAACATGGAATGTGCTCAGGAGCAGCTGAGGGAGCTGGGAAAGGGGCTCAGCCTGGAGAAAATGGGGTTTATGGGGGACCTTGTGGCTCTGCACAACTCCCTGACAGGAGGGGACAGCCAGGATGGGGGAAAACAAGGGACAGGATGAGAGGAAATGGCCTTAGGGAAGGTTTGGGTTGGATATGGGGGAAAATTTCTTCCTGGAAAGGGCTGTCCAGGGCAGTGGTGCAGTCCCCATCCCTGAAAGTGTTCAAAAATTGGATGTGGCACTTGGGGACATGGTGAGTGGTGACCATGGTGGTGGTGCTGGGCTGGGGGTTTGACTTGATGATCTTCGAGATCTTTTCCAGCCAATTYCATAATTCCATGATTTCCAAGGCAAAGCTTCCTGCAGTTTTCCAGCACAGAGGAATGTGGTGTTTGTAGGAAAGGCCCTGAGTAGGTCAGCCCTGGCCAGGAACAACCCATCCCTCCTCCAGGGCTGCTCTCTGAGGAGAAGGAGCAGAATGCATCCATCAGTCCAGCACAGGCTTTTCCCAGTGCTTGGCTGTCCCCAGGGACCAGCAGGTGTTTCCCTGCCAGGGGAATTGCTCACATCCGTGGGTGGAGCACAGACACCTGAAAGAGAAAACACTTGAGGCTGATCAAGGCAGATTATAAATAGAAATGCATCTAATTAGCATCTTAATCTGCAGGTTTTCTGTTTGTTTGCGGTGGCTTTCCTACTCGCAAATCCAGCTAATGCAAATTCTATTTTTAAAGAAATGATTCCTTAATTGTAATGTGTTGAAATTATGCGAGTTACCGGTGCCATCCCCCGGATGGAGCGGGGGCTTCTGCCTGCAGGAGCTCTCTGGGAGGCTGCCAGGGATTTGTGGGGCAGGATGGCAGCACTGCCCTGCTCCTGGCACCCACCTTCCCCCAAACAGCACAAAAGGATGCCCCCAGAAATGCCAGGGGGACCCCAAAGACAGCTCCACATGCTGCTGAAGGAAGGATATCCATGGAGATCCATGGGGCAGGATTTCCACCCAGCCCTCACATTTCCACCCAGCCCTCATTTAAGAGGTGTTTCTAAAATTAATAACAGAAAGGTGGGATATTTTCTAGTATATCACCCCCAAATACTCCTTCACACACGCTTCAAACACTTCAGAGAGACAATTCCCTTTTTCTGCTGCYTGCCTGAGTATTTATTCCTTCTCCTTGAGGATTCAATGTTTCCAGGTTTGCCTGACAGCTGCAAATCTTGGGGTCACCAGGACATGGGAGGGGCAGAACAAGATGAGCTTTAAGATCCCTTCCAACCCAAAACATTCTGTGATTCCCTGATTCTGTGATTCTGTTTCCTTCMCTGCTGGTGAAACTGATGTTTTCAGCAGTTCACAGTGACTTGGGATTTTTGTGGCTGGAAATGAGAGCAGCTTTTGGCACAG